CGGAAAGCCTCAGTTGCTCACATTGAGTACATTTGAAGCAAGCCATAATGCATGACATTTATCGGAATCGGAACAGCGACAAGATACAATGGATTCATTTTTCAGTCACAAGTAGTCCATGGGGGCGGTATGCATCCAAATGAATTAAATATAACATCTAAATGATCGGACCGTCGAAAAAGTAAAGGAGCAAGACATCAGATGCGTTAACGCTACACTGCTCCCAAATATCTCTTCCACGCTGCGCGAATAACCCAGGTCTCTTCATGACTGCTACAGTATACCACGGTCTGCGCCAACACCGGCTTGAGCATGTCAAGTAGCCGTCATGACTGCTTCAAACGTCGCTCTACAATCGTGCCTTCGAGCATTTCCTCCACACTCCGATATTGTGCCCACCGCTGCCCACAGGTCTCTGGAGGAGTGCGGTTACATCGAGTCGGGGTTGATTTCCGGTGCAATATGGATGGTCGTTGAGCGTTTGTCATGGCATCAGCTGCCCACGCGACGGTAGCGCTGTGCAACAGTCCCGGGTTGAGGGTGATGCCAATGCCGACGTCCACCGTCAGTCACTGCCCTGTCGCCTCGTATCCATCTGGTATTGTCAGACGAGACATGACCAGACGAATGCACATTGTATTTCCCGCGCAACGTAGCTTACAGCAAGCCTGCACCGAATACCGCGGCGGAAAGCCATAGTGCACGAGCGGAAGCTGGTGCGCCTCTCCGCCACATTATCATCAACGTCGTTCCAACTCTGTCCGTCTGAAGCGATCAAAACCGTGCACACAGACAACAAGCTACCTCTATCGACAAACGCCTGGACAACAGCGCTCAGAGAATAGCAACACCTGGACTCGGAAGCATCGCCGACAAACGGAATGTACAACATCAGAAGAGGTAACCAACACGCGCCATGGACGCCTCTTGCGAACAGCTTGCCCCGACGCTGTACAGCAAAACGTGCAGAACGAAACTACTCGGAACGATTTCGTTGATAGCAGCGAACGTCGAAACGTCCATTGAACTGCAGATCAGTCTCATCACATGCCTACATCCGGCGGCAAAAGACGTCTTGAGAAACCGACACACCATGGTGGACGGCGGGTCACAACCGACGCGACGAAATATGTGTCGGCACCGCCTGCTCACGTGCCCGAGAACCGATTCCGATACCGACGCGGCACACCTGCGGGTGTCCAACGCGGCCGTTCGGCGGCGCTGGCCCTCCGCCGTCCCCGGAAGCGTCCCCGGCGCAGGAGAATATCACAGGGCGAGCCCGCCTCATCGGCCGCGCTCGGCGCTACCGGCCGAGCGACCTGCGCGCCGCCGCCGCTCGCCGCCGCCGGCTGCGGCTGGGCGGCCCGCGCCGGCCGCTCACACGGCCGTGTCGGTGGGCGCCGTGCCGTTGTTATGCTGGGCGGCGTCGGCGGCTGGCGGCGCCTTCTGCTCAGGGGCGGCGCGCTCGCCGGTCTCGGCGTCAACGGGCGCGCCCGCCTCCTGACGCCGGCTGACCTCGGACACTGAAAGCCCGAGACAGCACGATAAGGCGTCACTCACGGCCGTGACCCTGCCGACCACCGCCGGCAGAGCTAAGTTACAAGTCCAAGTGAGGGCCGGCTCACGCCCGGTGGCGTCAAATTTGTCAGCTGGGAACGAGCTGGCCAGCAGTCCCAGCAGCTCTCACAGCTGGCCAGCTGTCTCGTCACCCCTTACAACTGGCCGGCGCTCGAGGAACGAGGATGGTGCTGACCTGGCCGAAAGGGGATTTTAAACACCAGGAGACCCGTAGACCGTCACCATCAACGTCCTTTTGTGTCATTCCTGCCTCTAAGTAGTGGAAGGCACAGTCCTTAGACGCTAGTCCGTAGGTGAAAAGCCAGGGCGAGCTTGACTGCGTGCCACATCCGTATACCTCAGCGTGTGATGTTTAACTCATGTTGTTGAATATCCAGAAGTTGTTTCGGTTACACAACAAGGAATTATAACAAAGATTCACCCAAATCATAGGCAGTGATGTCAAAAAATAACTACGGTGATGATGACGCGACTGGTCCTTGTCAAACGCATGGAGTCCTTCGATCACCTTTGGCACATTTGTTGGTTCTTACTGCCTGCGTCGTGTGACGACTTACTGTCCCAACGACAAGCTGCTGTGGCACACAGGCTAGAAGAACCAGAGGGAGTGAGGAGATGGAAAGGAAAGGGCGATGTGGAAGGAAGGATTGTAAGAGAGAGAGAGAGACAGAGAGAGAGAGAGAGGGAGAGGAGAGAGAGGGAGAGAGGGAGAGAGAGAGAGAGAGAGAGAGAGAGAGAGAGAGAGAGAGAGAGAGAGAGAGAGAGAGAGAGGGAGAGAGAAAAGCAGAGAGCACGATCAAGTCACTAGCGGCTCTAAGCAGGCTTACCGTTAGTAAGCTAGTTTGCAGCAGGGTAGCGATGTTTGCAGGCTGTGGAGTGTTACACGCGTGCTGCAAGCTAGAGAGCTGCGGGCGGTCGCCGACGGTGCATACCACACTGATCCGTTCGTCCGCTCCTCATGCACGTGCGGCCCCCGCCCAGCTTCAGCGTGTGGCACCAGCGGGGATCCGTTCGTCCGCTCCTCATGCACGTGCGACCCCCGCCCAGCTTCAGCGTGTGGCACCAGCGGGGAGCCGTTCGTCCGCTCCTCATGCACGTGCGACCCCCGCCCAGCTTCAGCGTGTGGCACCAGCGGGGATCTGTTCGTCCGCTCCCCATGCACGTGCGACCCCCGCCCAGCTTCAGCGTGTGGCACCAGCGGGGATCCGTTCTTCCGCTCCTCATGCACGTGCGACCCCCGCCCAGCTTCAGCGTGTGGCACCAGCGGGGATCCGTTCGTCCGCTCCTCATGCACGTGCGACCCCCGCCCAGCTTCAGCGTGTGGCACCAGCGGGGATCTGTTCGTCTGCTCCCCATGCACGTGCGGCCCCCGCCCAGCCTTAGTGTGTGGCACCAGCGGGGACCCGTTCTTCCGCTTGTAATGCCCGTGTGGCCCTCGCCCAGCCTCAGCGTGTGGTACCAGCGGGGCTTGACACGGCATGCACATACTCCATCAAACTTTCGCCCTCCGAGCACGTAGTCAAACAACGCAATCACGTCAAATTTATTGACCGGGAACATTTGATCAACGCTGAGCGAAGCAAACCAACAAACTTGCAAAGCGCCAGAATGAATCTATGTTCGTTATATACAAACGCAATATATATACAAACGGAAGTGTAAGCGCCAGAACCGAGCCATATGATCCTTACATGCTTGCCAAAAAAGACATTCCCGTTGGATGGCACCTCACTGCATCCACATTCATTCACCGTGAGCATGCGTTCGCAGTGACATTCAGTCATGCATTGGAAGCGGCATGCGGTAAACGCGTCGCTTCCAGCGTTATGCTGGCTCGACTAGCACACTCGCGCTACTGTAAGCCCCATCTCCAGCAGGCAGCTTACGGTTAGTCTACAAGAGAGCGTGAAATAGGAGTCTTTGTCAGCAATGATGATGTTGAGAAAGAGGTGGTAAACAACGATCAAGGCGGGTACAATTGCCTCCACGTCCACTCCGACCGGGAGCCGGGAGCACAGAATCCGCACACGCCTCACACGATCACATCGCATGTTGCAGCGGCAAGGCCGCGCCGCCGGCTGTCCGCTGGCAACATCAGAGGCCGCACGAGCTCACGACGTGAGCTACAACGAGCTATAGCTAGCATGATCCAGACCATGAGACACGAGTGGTCATCCCTGGATGGTCTCCTGTTTCTCTCCCGCATTGTATCATGTCATGTGTTGTATAACGTCACTGCGCGTCAGTTTAAGTCGCTAAAAAGCACTCAGCTGCGTATGATCGCTTGTTTCAGGTGCCTGGCAGGTTTGGCGGGTTCACAACTTCTTCGTAACATGTACAGCACTAAAACTGCACTTACAACTTCCGTGCCCGCTGTCCGTCCAGCTCTGGGTGACCCATATCCAGCCTGCACTACACACGTTCAGTACTTCCCACCCGCTTAGTCCTGCCTACCGCGCCCATGACACCTAATTTATCTGCTGTCCGCGCCCCATGCGGCGGTTGCGGTTACACTGATGAAACCCCGGCGCTGAGCGGGTCCGATGGGATGGCGGGCGAGGACGAGAGGCGTGCCGACAGCTGAGCTCTCAGCTGGTCCGGCATGACGGGCACGCCGCCGGCCGGCGGCTGCGACAGCGGACGCACCGCCTTGGGAGGCAGCGGCGGCGGCGGCGGCAGCGGCTCCGCGGGATACGGGATGCCCAGCTCCTGGTACGAGTGCGGGCTGGCCGGCGCCGGCTGGGCTGGCCAGAACGGTGCCGCATCGTGTGGCGACGGCGGCGGGAGGGGACCGCGTGAGCGCGCCGCCGACCACGGCCTGGCCGGCGGCTCGGCCCGCGGCTCGGCCGGCGGCTCGGCCCAGCGCGGGTGCACCCCGGTACTGGGGAACAGGATGGGCGAGATGGGGGTCGGCGGGGTCAGCGGCAGTGAGCGCACATCCGGCGCGCCAGCTGAACTCAACGAGCTAGGGACGATGGAACGCGGCGGGAAATCTAGCTCCTCAATGGCGACGGCGCCATCGTCACTGGAGAGCGGACGTGAGGCGACAGGCGGAGCCGGCTGGACCGCGTCCCCCGGCGCCGCCTCGCTGGCCGGCGCCGGGCTCAAACTCTCCGCCTCGTCAGGCACACCAGCCGGGGCGTTATCGTTGGAGTATGTCACCTCCTCCTGCCCTTCGCCGCCGTCAGCGGCATGGAAGCGCTCTCGATTCGGCCGCGAGCTCAGACTCTGCTTTAGCTGCTGGTAACTGGTCGGCAGACCCCCGAAGCGAGAACGCGGGCGCGGTCGACTTCCGCCACCACCGCCGGCAGCGCCACCTGGTCCAGCGGCGCCGCGAGCGCCACTAACGCTGCCGGTGGACGCTCGGCGAACTTTTCTGGGCAGCTGGCTGGCTTGTTGTCTTGGGTTTGTGTTTCCCTTACCTGCAAAACACCACTTTCCACGGCTCCGCCCGAACGCCACCAGTCCGATGATGAGAAGCAGCACGAGCCCGCCTACGACGGCGCCAACAATGGCTGACGAGCTCATCACTGCGGCAGCAGGAGTACAGTGTGATGACTCGGAAACAAGACAACGAGAGCAGGGCAAGGTGTCACTCCTCGGACAAACACAGCAGGGCGCGCGGAAGCAGGGTGTATGCCCGGGCACAACGTGCATAAGAAGGGGCGAGTATCACTTCCCCGGGCAGGACATAGCAGCAATAGGGGCAGGGTGCGACCTCCAGACGCAGTATGTCGGCAGAACACTGTGCCCCCGCGGACGCGGCACTCAGGGGCATGTGATGGGTGGCACTCCTTGTACAGAGAACAACGGATGCAGGGGCACGATGAAACTCTCTGGCACAAAACTCGGTAGCAGACGCAGGGTGTCACTCATTGAACAAACACAACAGCAGCAGGAGCAGAGTTGAGTTACCGGACACGGTACGACAGCAGCGGGGTCAATTGAGTGAGCTACCGGACACGGTACGACAGCAGCGGGGTCAATCGAGTTGAGCTACCGGACACGGTACGACAGCAGCGGGGGCAATCGAGTTGAGCTACCGGACACGGTACGACAGCATCGGGGGCAATCGAGTTGAGCTACCGGACACGGTACGACAGCAGCGGGGTCAATCGAGTTGAGCTACCGGACACGGTACGACAGCAGCGGGGGCAATCGAGTTGAGCTACCGGACACGGTACAACAGCAGCGGGGTCAATCGAGTTGAGCTACCGGATACGGTACGACAGCAGCGGGGCCAATCGAATTGAGCTAACGGACACGGCACGACAGCAGCGGGGTCAATCGAGTTGAGCTACCGGACACGGTGCGACAGCAACGGGGTCAATCGAGTTGAGCTACCGGACACGGTACGACGGCAGCGGGGTCAATCGAGTTGAGCTACCGGACACGGTACGACAGCAGCGGGGTCAATCGAACTGAGCTACCGGACACGGTACGACAGCAGCGGGGTCAATTGAGTTGAGCTACCGGACACGGTACGACGGCAGCGGAGTCGAGCTGTACGCCCCGGATGCAAAAGAATTGCAGAAGGGACATGGAGAAACCTTTCAAACATTAAACAACACAGAGGGAAAGGATAAAACTCCTACATATAGCTCAGGAGCAGCTTATTCGGACGTGCCACTGGACACAGCATTAACTCCAAGAATTCCGCCTCGTTTTCGCGGAAGACGAGGCGTGATCCTTGGAGGCAACAAGCCAACAACAGGGACAGAAAACAGCCGTGACAGGACGCCACTTCCTGTGCAAGGCTGAGGCACGAACTCTGTATCATCTGAGGGTACTGCAAACGCGGGACAGGATACCGTCTCCCAGGTACGGTGCGGCCGAGGAGAAAATGCTTCCACCACAGCTCAGGAGCTTTCGGATGCAAAGGAAAGGTATTGTTTTCGGATATAACTGGGGCAGGGACATGATGCCACTCTCCGCACACGGCAGATGTGGGAAGAGAGTTGACTCTGGCAGGGGCAGGCGGAGGCGCGGTGTCGTCACGGAAACGTCAAAAACAGCAGAAGGTGCCCTTCCTGGCGCGCGAAGGGAGCCTGGACAGGATGTTGTGTCCCAGGCACCATCGGAGCGAAGGCCATTCTCCGCGCGGGACAAGAGCGACGATGACGCCAGTTGTAACTACCAGCGCCACGACGCAACAGCGATGGCATGGAATGCCACCCAGTGTGTGAGACGAAATCATGGACCGTGGCATTGGAATCACCGACAGCAGACGTGATGCGCATGCCAGGAAGCAATGGTGAAACCCACGGGTGTCATCGAGGTTGAGAAAATTTTTGCATGGGCCAATATTTGTACATGGAAAACAATGACATTTCTTAAGTGATTTTGCTGGCTGACAACCCCGATCACGTTCTTGATACGATTTGCTCAAATCAGACCACGTGGCCAGGCACTATCACCCGGATTCCAATAGCAATATGTGTCAGCTCACGATCAGGCGGGAACTAAGGCTATTGGAATGCTTGCTGTATCTTACAAATCGCGCGCTTGATGAAACAGCAGTGTCTTACTGAACGCCCATACTGGGTTCAGCGGCAGAGTAAAGCAGCACCCTTTTGACCAAAGGTTCTCTTGTCGAGACCAAAACAGGAATTCACAGGTTTAAAAAATAGGTGCTATAAGAATAAGAAATGCTTACTAAACCGCAGCTCCCCTACCCCTCCCCATACACACGATCACGCACGGGGTTACCGCACACCAATTGGTGAGGTAGATGACAACATATACTATGGAATGGGGCGGTTCATCAACTTAGGAAAGCTGGGCTTATCAAAACGCCTAGCTAGGGGCCGATTCAAAATACCTTACTTTGAGACGGAATGAAAATAAATGTGATGCCAAAAACGGCTTTTTGGTACCAGCATACACAAAACCAGCAAGACCAACAAACCTGCGTGCGTGCATATGGCGAACTGACGTTCTCAGTCGGGTGAGTGGCCTTACCTTGCGGCGGTGGTGCTGAGTCGGGCGCGTGGCCTTACCTTACGGCGGTGGTGCTGAGTCGGGCGCGTGGCCTTACCTTGCGGCGGTGGTGCTGAGTCGGGCGCGTGGCCTTACCTTGCGGCGGTGGGGCTGAGTCGGCCGCGTGGGCTTACCTTGCGGCGGTGGTGCTGAGTCGGGCGCGTGGCCTTACCTTGCGGCGGTGGTGCCGGCCCCGTCCCGATTGTGAACTCGAGCGCCGTCGGCCCCATCTCGTTCTCCAGCCGCAGTTGGAACGTCTTGGACTGGTCCTCCATCCGCACCGGGGCGATGGTGAGCGTCAGGTTGTATTTTCCCCTCTGGCCGTCTATCTGGGTAGCGGGGTCGGGCTGGTCAGGCAGGCCCACTGGCCCCGCAAGGCGTGCTGCCAACGCGGCGCGCTCCGTCGGGTTCATTGAACAGTAGACAGCTACAGAACACTGGAAAACTCGCTAGCCTTGTGACACTAGCTGATGGTCCTAAGGTCCACACTGTAAGCACAAGAAGACAAGCAAACACTAGTAGCAATTATACGTTAATAATGCCATATGACGCATATTATCATGACGTAATGAGGAGCACATTTTCTAAACAGAAAAGCCGCGTTATCTAGAATGCTCCTTTCCGCTTAAAAGTATACCAATAGTTATAAGTCAGCTTATTTAATCCTTTCTAATGTTTGCTTCAGTATCCTGAAATGTGGCACATCCTCTTTAATATTGTTCTCGTAAGTGGGCACGGAAGAAAGCTTCACGGACTCCGGTGGCCATCCCTACTAACGCCCCAATGGCAGCCAACAGTGATGACAGATTGCTTTCAAAAACATTTTTTAATGTCCTAGCTTTACTGGCTTTGCCATGCGCACCTACACTTTGCTGTTTTATTTGTCATTTAAATGCATGGCTATGGCATGCTCCATTTTGTTGCAGGCAGTGTCAGCTTTCCGAATGGTACGAGAACGATTCGGAATATATTTCACTGGAATTAAAGCCCTTAAGTCTTTGAAAATATCTGGAATAATGGACATATTCAGGAACACATGTGCATGTGGCAAATATATCCATAATGTGTACACAATAGCGTAAATCCTGGACGATGGAGACCCTTCGGCAGCAAATTTTTAGAGCTACATGAATATTCACAAATCAGAACACTACCGAAGACTACCAAAGGCATCGGCCCGACATCCGCCAACAGCCTGTCTGGTTGTCGGCCACTGGCCGGTATCTGCCGTCACCCCGCGTCGGCAGTGTTGGCGGGCGCCGCGGCTCTATCGCAGCCCACGGACAGGCGATAACGCCCACGCCCGCGTGCCACAGGTGTGTGACTCATCGGTATCGAACCGTTAACATGGCGGTCACTCTTGCCACTCATATGAATTCCGGCGGCTGAGCCATAGCGGGGTACACGTACATTTGTGACTCAGTTGACAGCCTTAGCGTCCCGGTCACTGATTCAGTGGCGATAAGGCACGCGAAAACACGCATTAGATGGAAGTATACACGTCGAGGTGGCCAAAAAGGCCGAGGCGCCGGAGGTGGAGCCCATAATCAAGAAATGCGCCTTTGAGGAGTGGCGATTTGGGCTGAAACATCGGCAGAGTAGGAGCACAGAGTTCGGTTTTTGACGGCTCACATTAGTGCTCGCTTTTGAGGTGTCTCAACAACAGCTCGACTGATCAAGGTGACATTGGGCTGCTTGAGCTTGCAGTTTGTCGACAGCTGACGTGCAAGTGTTAGTGGATCCCGCAGTGCTCACTTCCTGTCACGTCAGGCAAAGGGAAACGACGGAGTTATCAAACAAGCGCGCACAAACGTGCAAAAGCAGCGCTGTGACTCCGACCGGCCACAACAAGAGATCACTTCCAGCCTAAATGATAGCCGTTGCCGAAATATGTTAGATGCTCACCGGCCGGCTGACCACCAATGACGAATTTCATCCGCACAGTCCACAGGACCAAACCTAGCCGTCAGCGTCCAGCGCGCTGCTTCCTTCAACTAAGCCCCGCCGACGCCGGGCTCCCTGGCGGGTGGCTGTTTCCACGAGGAAGACAGAGACTCTGGACATCGTACGCAATGTGCATCAGATCCTCTTGTTGAGTGTTTCTGAAGGTCTGAAGCGGCTCTACAGCGAACATCATCAATCCCCGTGTACTTGTTATAGACTATTCTAGGCCCTGGCCTTGGCAAGCCAGATCGACGTGAAACCAGCCCACGAGGCTTTTATATCACCATACCAAGTGGTTTGAATGTGGATGGCAAAGCACCGACCATCTAGGCTGAACACGCGTCAGGTCCAGCCTAGACATCGCCTACAGTGATGTCAGAAGAACCTATCATTATGATGCCCGGCCGTTCTCGATTTGCGACTTCTGAGCCTCTCTTGTGTCTTGGTAGTGCGATGGGAGCGGCTGCGAGCCGTGTGTCGGTCGGTCATGCGAGAGCCACGGCGACGCTCAGGGAGTGCGTGCCGTCACCAGACCGGTCATGCCAGACCCACGGCGACGCTCAGGGAGTGCGTACCGTCACCAGACCGGTCATGCCAGACCCACGGCGACGCTCAGGGAGTGCGTACCGTCACCAGAGAGCCGGCCGTGAACCGTCCGTCCAGAGACTGACTCCCAGTCTGGACGAAGACGTTGTCGCCGATCTTCCAGGACATGGGCCCTGGCATGGGGTTGGCCGTGAAGCTCAAGGTGACCTGGCCCTCCTCTCCGGCCGTGAAGCCGTAAATCTTGCCGACGTTGTTTCCTTCAGGGCGATACGGAGCATCTGGAGGAGACACGGCAGCCGTGGTGACATGGTCAACATGACAGCAGGAATGACGACACACATTGGGTGATCCTCTAACGGGCGGCAGCTAGCGGACGTCACGCACAATCTCTAACAGGATGATTGATCAGTGAATCAATGCATTATCGTTTGCGTCGTTGTCTGCCAGTCGGCAGCATTATAAATGCACGCTAACCAGCTCGTAACTGTTATCGATACTGGATTAGGACATTACGTGGCCGAAATTTTCTCGGGGAAATGTCTGTTCAATATCTTCGACTTCCTGCGAATTCGAGGGCGATCACGTAAAATCGCCTGGTATCTAGCGCATAAGTTTTGGCTCAGGGTAGGGAGAGAGGACACATCCCCGTGGCCTTCTCCTTGGCTATGTCCCTGGTATTGAGCATTTTCCGCTTCCTCATCCAAACCCATCGGCTAAACCAGCAAAGCCTTTTGCAGATGGCCCATGTATCCCCAAAATATCCCAAATCAAACCATAACATTCCGGTTGGCAGTCCTGCTTTGAGCTAAGACTGCTTACGTGGGGCGCTGACGTCACTGCTCCACCGAATACATTTTCTATTTCAAAGAAGCACGACTATTCACAGCTTATCATACCGTGTAAATATGCCTGGAGGTCATTAGCACAAAAGAAACATGCTAACCGGCTTGGACCATCACGCAACCACAAAAGCTTAAGTTAGTCTGGTTCTGTGTAGTCATTATGTAGTCAGTCATATGGTTCCCTCTACTCCATTATTGCTGCAGCAGGATTTTATGTAGCAGTGGGTTTGGAAAACTTACGCGCGAGCTTATGATGAACATTTTATGGTGGGTTTAAGTGAGCTTGTTCCGTACCAGCATTGATGACTTCATTTCTAGAAACAGGATGGAAGAATATTGTGCTCCGCAGAGCATAACCATCAGCAGTATCCGACACAAGATCACCGGGATAACCAGGTAACATCACGCGGACACGAAAGCAAACATTTTAGCAATTGCGAGTTGCAAAAAAATTGCCAAAAATTCAATTCGCTCGCGATGAGGCCCATGGCATGCATCACATGACCCACAACGGCGTGTGGAGCCGCAAGTTGGGTCATCTGGTGGGTTTTTTGAGTCATCCAATTAAAGGGCTGCATGACCACGTGTCCGGTGGTCTCTACTGCTCCCAGGTCTGCTGAAGTGTCATCACACACAGCGAATTGTGAGGCAGGGGGGGGGGGGGGCAGCTCACACTGCACGTCGACGACAATGGCTTGCTCGCGGCTGTCCTGATCATCATAGCCAGCGTGGCTGGCCACGCAGCGCAGCTGGTCGCCGTTGTTCTCCTTTCTGAAGCGGTGCGTCAGAGTTGAGTTGGTGGTGACGAGCCCCGTGGCCGGGTCCTTGGTGTCCGTCACCACGACGCCTTCGTAGATCTGCGTGTTCTCCAGGTACCACTCGAGCTTGGCTTTCGGTCGGGCGCCGCTCGCTTCGCAAGTTACCGAGGTCGGCTGGTCGGCCGACGCCGTCAGCTCGAAGCTGCCGGCAGCAGCGCCGAGAAACTCCAGCCGGGACGGCTTCTCTGCCAGCAGCACGACAGCTATCGGTCAGAGGGCGTGGTCGGGAGCAGCATGGGGAGTGAGCGAGCGGAGACAGGGAGCACCAGCTGTGCTGCGGGTCCCCGGTCAGGGTGGAGTAGCAGCACGGCAGCTGTCGGTCAGAGAGCGTGTTTGGGAACACTGCCGGAGCCGAAAGTTGCATGTCCCGCATGAAGCGCACGTGGTTGTCACACCGTCAATATGAAGGGGTGGGGGCAATATAGCCAACATCAACAACGCTTTGGCTTTGGGTATGTGACGGTGCATATAACGAAAGACTTACTTAAAATTACTGCTGGAGTTACCCAGCCAATGATTTTTTAGAGGTGACCACACTGAAAGAGCACCGCAAAGAGTGTCAACCCCAGTTAGTGATGGGAAACGTAACGAGAGGGCGCCCCGCGGTTCCGCGGGGCACATGGCAGTGGGAGCAGAGCCACGGGGCACAGGGCCGTGGAGGGAGAGCCGCGGAACACATGGCAGTGGAGGGAGAGCCGTGGATCGTGGAGGAGGGGGAGGAGCTGATAGGACACACCGCACAGTAAACGGTTGGTGCGGGGTTGCGGTCACTTCATAAGTGTTGGAATAAACGCACATGTATGCACATCGATGATCAGGTGGGTTGTTTAAAACACGCACCGACTGATGCCAATGGAACTCGGAGCCCTAACGCATTAGCGGCATGAGGAGACTACACAGTCCAAGACCCTGCTGCTGACTATAGTCTATTGCCCGCATCTGCAATCCAAAGTGTGGTCTATCCAATTTTACGTAATGGGAACCAGTGGCAGGGTGTTATGGGCCCATTAACAGGTTTACGTGTTCACCGCCCATCCCGTTTGCGGCGGGTGTTCGATACATTGTGAGGAACATCGCGGCAGCACCTACCAGCGCAGGCAGGCTCGTAATCAGGCAAGCACAGAGCAGATGGAAGGTGGTCCCTTGGTCAGGGTAGCAGGAGGACGGCGGTCCCTTGGTGAGGACAGCAGAAACACAGCGGTCCGCTGGGAGGGCAGCAGAAGGACGGCGGTCCTTTGGTCAGGGCAGCAGGAGGACGGCGGTCCCCTGGTGAGGACAGCAGAAGCACAACGGTCCGTTGGTGAGGGCGGCAGAAGGACGGCAATCCCTTGGTCAGGGCAGCAGGAGGACGGCGGTCCCTTGGCGAGGACAGCAGAAACACAACGGTCCGTTGGTGATGGCGGCAGAAGGACGGCGGTCCCTGGGGCCAGCCACTCACGTGCGATCACCACCTCGGCCGCATCGGAGTTCGCTTGACCGCCGTTCTTCGTGTAAGGCGAACACGTGTACACCCCGTTGAACCGGTTGTCGACGTTGTTGAGCGTGATGGTGCAGTCCATATCGCTGTTTTTGTCACGAGCCGAGATGTCTAGGTTGCCCGGAACCTGCAGCAAACGGTTCGGAGAGTAAAGTAGTGACACCGCTGGTTCACCGTGTTCCCCTAAAGCAGCGGCGCAACGTATGACATTCCAATCGATGTATGCAAGAGAGGACTGCAGCCGCTCCTCTCCACACGAAGGGAGACGGGAGGTGAAGGCGGGCGAGGTCTGGCGGCATCACGCGCGGCGACCACGAGTGTGACTTGGCCTCTCCTGACTGTAACGGAAGAACGACTAGTCAGCCGAAGTCTCAAAGCGCTCGGTCTGCTCATGCCGACGACCCCTGGCTCCGGAGCCAATGCCGCCGTGCACGCACTGCAACGGCGCAGCTCTGGTGCCTGGCGTGAAGGGAGGACAAGAGCACGCTGCACTCGCCCGCTACAGGCCAACTGCAGCCTACGCGAGCTCACTCGATTGGATCCTGACGTGGTTCGGGATCGCGTGGGATAATAGCCTGTTTTCAACCTATTCAAGACGCGTGATGCAAGGCATGATGTCACGCACATTAGGGTGTGGTGGGGTACGATTTGTGGGTGATGAAGGTGTTTTGCCACCGTGTCGGTGGCAGGCCACCGTCTGCAAAAAGATAGCACGAAAATGGCTCGCAGTAAGCTCTATAGCACACATCGACTTGCGAATGGTCAGAAGCTTCTATGTGAAATGGTCGCATCATGAGGTATCGCAGACAATCCGCTGCAACCACGACAGCGAGCGCATAACCAACCCGAGTATCTGTACTGGAGCCGCCTGTGCGTGCTGACCACGCGGCTTTCGTTGCGTTCGCCTGCGCTCTCACCCTCCCCCCCCCCCCCCCCTAAGGTCGTCATTGTCTGACCGTTGGCAATCAAGCGATAACGAGCGCGTCGAGACGTGACCTCCAGGACTGATCACCCAGGGCAAGTCGGGATGGTCCGGGACACTTCGCCTAGTAGCAACGGCGGTCGGCGTGGCCCACGACGATTTTTGGTCACCTCGGCGCGAGAACGATGCAAAGGAACAGATTAGTCTTGGGACAACTGAAGGAACTCTTGCGTGTCATGTGGCGGGCTCGCAGTGATCATCATTATGTGGCCAGGTCGTGTACCGAGCTTGCGATTGAAAGTCGCTTGCAGTAAATGTTACATTACTTATAGCAGGAAGTGACGCGTCCGCTTAAGCGAGATCAGTTTTCAAGTTGGAGTCGTCTAATGATCAATGCGGTTCGTCCGAATGATAGTTTTGGTCGTGGCTATGGAATGATGGGTTACAGCTTATAATCTAATTAAATCATCTGAAACTCTGATAAGTTCGACCTTACTTTCCTCGTGAAGGATACTAATTTTCGAACAATACCAAAAGGCGCACTGCACACGGACATCTCGGCACAACGGCAACCAATGAAGTAAGGCCATAGGGAACTTTTGGGGGCCTTGCACACGTACAGCATGATTACCATTTCACGCCCCATAGCTAGAGATGCTTTATAAGCCCCTCCGAATAGCTTGCCACAGTCAGGATCTCAAACCCCGATGGAAGTCACTTGAGAAAGCTGAGACTGCTATGCGGCGGAAGGTAGCCCATCTTCAACCCAGATTCGACCCCGAATGAATTTGATGGCACAAATGTAGAACATCCCAATATCTTTTACGGGATCGCAAAACCCTGAACGAATGACACGTGACCTGAAAGCTCTCTGCTATCCAAAGACAACGGAGCACAGAAAATCCACCTTTCTTTTCTAAGGGCAAACTTGTAAAAAAGTATAGTGATGTCTAAGGGGTGGCCCCCACGAAAATCTTCAAACTCGTCTCAACGAGCCACCGACTGATGTGTATCAATCTGACTGAGGAAACCCTTCGGGCCAATGATATTTGGGGTTTTAAATCCCTCGGGGAACCTACTAACGGGGCTTTGCGCTTGCTTGACAGCAAACATAGGCTAAGTTGTATATCGATACAATGATCATCATAGCGAGTTAATCAAATCAGTAAGTCATCATTCTTTAGCGCTATGATGTTCATTCCAATGGCTACGAGTCATCATTTACGAATTAAGGATACCATGGGCGCCTTTGTTGATGCATAAGTTGACCAGCCATAACCAAGGACAAGTATGCTTTCTGACTAAACTTGCACTTAAAATTTTGAATGCACCATAGAAGCTTGCCAAAATCGCGGTGACCTGGAAGATCCATAGAAAGACGCTTCCGTCAACCTAAAGTATCATTAAACATCTAGCTTAGTTAAGTATAGCTAAGTAAGTGAACAATCCCGCTTTTAAGTTTCTAAGAGTTTGACCCGCTCAAGATTGGTGTCCAACGGGTTTCGTCGGCCAGATTGGCAAGTGTCAGCCGATGTTTCGATGAAATGATTTTGAAGAAAATCTAAGGGGCCGCCCATAGACAACTTTTTCTCGATCACCCATAACTTTCCCCGTAGACATTGGCGGTTTTGTTACAACGCACCATATCTGCCTGCGGGTCTGCCAAGCGTCCGCGATTTCGGCTAGATTTTGGGGTACATTCACATGCACATTCTTCTGATTTGGGGTCATGTGGGCTTAGTTATTTAAAAGCAACAATGCCCAGTTACGTGCAAGTCTAGAAAATTATGGGTTTACAGGGTTACCGCAGCCAGCAGTTTAAGAGGGTTGGAATGTGCCATGGTGGAACAGTAGGACGACTACCTATAACGGATCCACCGGCCCCCTTGTCCAGAGCCAGTGGGCACAGACACTGGACTCGAACAGAAGATGTTGACCTCGCACATTCTCCACAAAGTGCACCGGGTCATCGCCTGCCTGATAAAACAGGCACAGAGCAGAGCGCGGGCGGCGCAGGCACGGCTTGTTCGAGACCTCATTTCCAGCATGTTGTATGCAGACAGGCCGAAAATTCTATTATTGCTAGGTCTTAGGTGAGCCGTTGTCTTGTGGAAGCTCAACTATTGGCTCAGCCGCCGCAGGGGCGGACTAAGCTCTACTTCATCAGCCTTCCGCGCTTTGCTTTGCGACGACGACCCAATTTTCTGTATGTGGGTGTTTATGGAGGTGACTTTTCTGTTTGTAGGGACTTATGGAGCCTATTTTCCTGTTCGTGGAGGCTACCCTCAGTTCAAAATATACCAAAACCATGTAAACATCGCTGAAAATTGAGTTTCCATTTTGGTGGTCTTTTGGCCTTGAAAAAGTTGTTTGGATGTTCGGTGCGTTTTGACCGGTGATTTGGACAAGCAAAATTGGAAAACCCTTTATTATCTGCAACGGATAGCTACATGGCTGGCCCCAATCCAGCCTCTAGGCTGTTCTAGACCAGGGTGTCGGCAAAAGTATTCGAAAATAGAATGTATTACGTAAGTTGCTCAGTGCATTAGCCAGGAACATTGTACACACAGATAAGACGGCAGTATTAGCCTTATTCCTCGGCAAAACCAGGAGAATGGAGACATAGTTTGGTTGATATTTCGGCAACATGTCTTTATCGAAACTAAAGCAGAAGTGAATTAATTCACTTCTGCTGTTGTTATATTCGCATATGCTACATAATTTCGTTTACGAGCCTCTCAATCTGGAAGGTAAATGTGTCCGCTCTATAAGGAACTCTCGATACAGCAGCCCTTCTGAAAAAATGCGGCTCTGGGACGAGAATCTCAGCTGCAACTCTGCACTTTCTGCGATCGGGACCGCTGAACCATTTAACCTGAACTAGATTAAGCCAACCATATCGCTCACCTTTTAAAACGTCCCTTCACAATGTAATTCACGACATTTTTCAAGCGCTCGCGCAAGGACATTTTCAATAATACACCCTACACCTGTGAACATTACCCCATAAAAATGTCCAATGCAACATAACTTACAAGAAGATGTTATAGCTCATATAATACTGCCTTCTCCGATTTTGAGTGCTTAGCATATAAATGATGAAGATGCCTACTTCCACATACCAAGCATAAAAGGTGATTCATTTTGCATGCTCACGATGATTCCCAGCCATACGAGAGCCGTCTACCAGTAGGTGTCAGTGAGAGCACGCGCCCGCTGATCTAAAAGTCACTCACCATGTTGTTGAGGAACCCGGTGGCTCCGAGACCGAGCGTCTCCAGTTTCCAGCCACAAGTGACCGGTTCATTGGTGACGCACTCCAGCAGCACGGCATCACCCTGATGAACCACCGACAGCGCCTGTGGCTGAGCTTTGAACAGTCGGGCCAGCGAACCTGAGGGTCGAACGAGGTCACGTGTCACGCAGTGAGCCGAGGACACGCGACAAACATCGGATGGATCACACAACACACAGCGGGCGGGCAACGCAATACACGGTGGACGGGTCACGTGATACACGTCGGGTCACGCGACACACGGTGGACGGGTCACGTGATATACGTCGGGTCACAGTCAACGGTTACGCCGTGGATCGGGTCGCTCGTCATATGGCGGCCAGGCCAGGCGTCACATGGTGATCAGTTCGTGAGTCACGTGACGGTCAGGCCATGTGGCACATGGCGGCCAAGTCATGTGTCACATGACGACGTCGCACGGCACATGACGGCCTGGTCGTGGGTCACATGACGGCCGAGTCGTGGAGTCACATGGCCGCCGGGTCATAAGCCCTCCGGCGGCCAGTTTGTAGGTGGCATGACAGCCAGGCCATGTTCACACAGAGGGACCAGAATGAAATATTAGGTAAAGATGAGCTTAGATAGCGCACCACAACTGACCTGAGTAGCAGGTCATTCTGATCAAATGCAAGTCAAAGGTGAGGTCAGGTACAGAACAATGACAACATGGGCGTAGGTAGCCGAGCTATTATGTCACCGACACTGACACCAATACCGAAATCAACACTGACGCCGACATAAACACCGGCGCCGACACCGATAACAACGACAACGGCGGCAACGACGTCAGGACAGTCTCGGAATATGAGTCGGAGGCCATCAAGTCTGATACGCGCACGTGGCCACGCGAAAAAATATCCGCATTTCCTTCTCAGGAACGGCTTAAAAACTGAACACCCTTTCAGAAAACTAAGCGAGCTAGACCCACGGAAATTCACGAAGTAGCGATATACGCTCGTTTCTCCCAGGACATGTGCTCCAAGCAGATTTGTTTAATATTTTTCTGACTTATCTCATCATAAAGTGCATTCATATCGTTCTAGGGGCTTTGTTAAGTTCAGGTCATCCAAGGCCAAAGTAGATCACACTGTGACCTGATCAGATCATACAAGTATAATTCAGGTCATGCAATCATTATGTCATTATATCGCTACATAACATATATCACACATCATAATCATTATATCATACAAATCATTGCGGGCCATACAACTTGAACAAATAGGCACATGCTATTCAGACTTTGAAAATTATGTTGTCGTTTTGATTTATTTTTTGATTATTTTTTATTTACTATTTATTATCATTATGAAAAGCCCCTCTAAGGCGCTTTTCCCATTGATCACGCCCGACCAATTGTCGATATAGCCGCACCGGCCCATGCAACAATAGTCTTAATCCAGTGGACCTGACATGCAATGTTATAGTCATTAGTCATCAGTCATCAGTCATAGGGCAAATGTGCTTAGTTCTTGAGATAACAAAAGGTATCCACGAAATGCCAATTTTGTCATTTTTACCCGATTTCCATAGCAATATACGAGCTAGAAAAAGCTCGTCGAAATCACGTCCCGCAAGTTCTGTGGGAAATACCTGATTCTGTGATTTAACAGCTTACTGCAGTCGTTGAATGAATCAGTGCCTACGTGTTTGTAGGACGGGACGGGTGAAGCGCACCTTCAGCCTGATAGCGACATCCGGTCGGGCAGCCTGCACGCGGACCCGGATCCCACTCATGCTCTTTCGCCCAGACCGAGGCTTTTCCCGGCGCCATTGATCTGGGGGACGCTCGGGATTAACTTATTCTGATCGCTCCACCAACGCCACCGCTGACGGTCATGCACGGCTCAGCCGCCACCGTCTGACGGTCACACACGGCTCAGCCGCCATCGTCTGACGGTCACACACGGCTCAGCCGCCACCGTCTGACGGTCACACACGGCTCAGCCGCCACCGTCTGACGGTCACACATGGCTCAGCCGCCACCGTCTGACGGTCACACACGGCTCAGCCGCCACCGTCTGACGGTCACACACGGCTCAGCCGCCACCGTCTGACGGTCACACACAGTTTGCCGACGGTTGCCGGACACTTTTGACACAAAATTCCAGGGGGCCATGTACCGCTCTGTCGGCGGGGTCCCGTGCCAACACCCAGGCCGGTCTCTGGAATCGTCGCTGTTGTTTTGTTCTGGGTTCCAGGTGGCGCTGTTGTTAAAATACTAGAGTAGGAATGTTGGCAGTGAGGGACAATGCAACAGGAAGCCAGCAGAACAAAACAAGCAGCGACAAAAAAAAAACAATAACAAGCACAGGCAGTTAAAATGCAAGCTCCGTCTCACAGTACAAATGTGCTCTTCACGGAGGCGTGCACATATGCTTGCAAAGTAGGTTATTAAAGGGAGCATCCCGCCTTGTATGCACTTTTCACCTTTTATTATATAAGCCACGCACAGCTTACTCAGTTAAACCAGTTTTCTAGAAATCCCTTTGATTAGCTCAGAATTTTAATTTCAAGTCCTTCTGAATAGGTCAGAACTTTGTTTTGAAGTACGCACTCCTGCGGGAGAAACCGCATTTGACTCCTTGCTCACCACTATGAAAGCGCTACACTTCATTTGCTTGCTTTTTCCGACGTATCTGTACTGCAGTTTTTGCAACACACTGTGTCAAAATTGTTGTGCTATTGACGCCACGGAAGCTTGAAAGGCTCCGTTTAGATAAAAAAAGGCCTGCAAACATAAAGCTTTTATCCGTGAATTCGGCGAAACGTTGTACAATGCCTTTGTGTCGTTTGCCGCAGTGTCTCTTTTCGAGGCACACTTTGGCTCTGGGAAGGGGAGCATCATGTAGTCTATGGTGACGCATTGATCCAAACTTCAACCAGTGCGCTTCTCGGTAACAGGCCCTTGCCACCCGCTGGCCCAATCAATAAGATTCTAAAATTCGCACCAGCAAAGGTGCGCACGGCGGTTGTTATGACGACGGTAATCGCGACTGCAGGGAAAAGGCGTAGTACTTTTGCAAAGCGTTGGCAGCGTACTTTGGAACGACAACGAAATCAAAAGTGACATCCTTATTATGTCTTGACGGTGCTGTATAGGCATTACTCAGTGCTTTTATTACACTAGGGTCCTGAGGTTTCACTGCAATATTTTTTTTAAACATGCTCCAGGGGTGGGATATTCCCTATCAGAGGAAGGACAATGAACCAGTATTGCAGTCATGGAATGCTTTGAACTGGACGGCAGCAATTGTTCCGCTGGCTCCACTTCAATTAAATACGCCTGCCATTGGTGCAGCCGCAAGTAATGTCTAATTCGTAGCGCTCATCTCTCCACTGAGACACACATTCCACGAATTTACTCCATCTTGCGTAATGCAGGAAATCTAATTCGATCGCCTTTTGACAGCACCGCCAAGACAGTGGCAGCCGACTGTCTCATCGAAGCCGACTTGCTTCACCCCAGAAGTGGGGCATACGGCCTGGCCGGCTGGCCTAGCATCGTTCCCGGCTGACTCACGGCGTGTGCCTCCAGCAGGCGCCACGCGCGCCGCGGCCCATTACCGGACCGACCCGCCCGTCCAGGCGCTCGTCACAGGCCGCAGAGCTGGGTTGCGGCAGCACCATTCCCACGCTAGTGGCGTCGGTGCCGGCCGGGCCGCCCCACAGCCCGGCGCCGTATGGCTGTCACTCCTTGCCGACCGCAGATGACACAGGTGGCCCGGCAAGCCGCTCCGTGTCGCGGCGGTACGGCGGACTAGCATGTACCAGTCCCACACCGCTCCGTGTCGCGGCGGTACGGCCGGCTGGTATGTACCAGTCCCACACCGCTCCGTGTCGCGGCGGTACGGCGGGCTGATATGTGCCAGTCCCACACCGCTCCGTATCGCGGCGGTACGGCGGGCTAGCATGTACCAGTCCCATACCGCTCCGTATCGCTGCGGGGTATGTACCCTCCCACGCTGGCGGCCCGTCTGTGACGCATACAACGCTGATGACTAATCGTCAGGACACATGGAGTCACCTACTCCCCGCCAGGGCTGACCTCGTCCGATAGGCCGTGATTCAGGCCCTCCAGTGGAGCACGCAGACTGCCGATCACAGCCACGCGATCGCGTCACAGAAAACAAAGACCTGTTGACGCCAGAATGCCGAAGCCGAGCAGCGAGCAGCGTAGGACTCGCAGCTAGAGCTAAGTGACTGGATCCCGCCTGCACGGATGGGATCATTAGCAGGCTGTTAATAGGAGCATTGCTATTGATATAAACGTGTAATCTTTTGGTTCCTATATAGTTGTGTGCAAAAATTCAACAAAGATGCTGATGTGATAGACAGGCATTTACACCACGCTAGAGACACATGAAAATAGGCCAATATTTGACTTTGATCAGAGATTTACAATCCGCAGTGGGAAGCTGATGGTGTGATGCTGACAGGCAGACGCCCAGGACGACAAATGAGCTGCCTGGGGTGCCGCCTCCTCTCTCGGTGGGACGTCCCGCAGGATAGTCGACGCGGAGGGTCGAGGCCGGCGGCGTGCAGCGTTGGAGTGAGCGGCGGGCGGCGACAGCGCCAACCGCTGAGCCACCAGGGCCGCCGCCTCCCGCTGGGCTGCGCGCTTTGTTCGAAACAGCTGTCGCGTCGGGCCGGGCTGATGCTCACCACTAGGGCGGCGCCACCGGCGCGCGTCACCACGCATGGCCGCCGGCTCGTGTAACTAATGGCTGCCGGCTTAGATCATTATGAGAGGGAAGTGTGCGAAGGGATCCAGCCACGTGCATCGCCGGTGCCTGGGTCGGCAGCAGTCGACGGCACCACTATCAGCGGACGTTGTCCCGTGCAGCGCCGGTACCTGGGTCGGCAGCAGTCGGCGGCACTACTATCAGCGGACGTTGTCCCGTGCATCGCCGGTACCTGGGTCGGCAGCAGTCGGCGGCACCACTATCAGCGGACGTTGTCCCGTGCATCGCCGGTGCCTGGGTCGGCAGCAGTCGGCGGCACCACTATCAGCGGACGTTGTCCCGTGCATCGCCGGTACCTGGGTCGGCAGCAGTCGGCGGCACCACTATCAGCGGACGTTGTCCCGTGCATCGCCG